GTGGCATGTCTGATGTTGCTTGCATTTTTAACTCTACAGGAAATTTGGCTATGTGGACTTTGCATCTGAGGAGGACCTGCAGAAGGGCCTGGAGCTCAATGGCAAAAAGGTCATGGGCCAGGAAGTGAAACTGGAAAAGGCCCGCAGCAAAGAAGGCTCGCAAGACAGCAAAAAAGGTAATGGATGTCATGAATTGAAACATTTCTTTGTGGGTGGAAAAGAATTTTGTTCCTGTACTCACACTGACATATGGCCCACAGAGAAGGACGCACGGACACTGTTTGTGAAGAACCTTCCCTTCTCCGCAACGGCAGATGACCTGAAAGAGATCTTTAAAGACGCAGTAGAAATCCGGGTGCCTCCTGGCCAGAATACTTCAAACAAAGGGTAAGAACAAGCTAGGTTGTAAATGTTTCGTACATTAGACAGTGGTTGGGAAAACTATATACTATATATACAGCAATTAATAATTATTGATTATCTAAATTATTACTATTAACTCAGACTCTACAAGTTTGGACTGATAATCCTAGATAGCATAGTAAACAGCTGAAGTTATGGGCAGTAGTTGTGGAACATGAACTGCTGATTACGTTTCATCATTATCACTCAGTTCCTGTTTTTTAAAGAGTATGTTCCGTGTTTTTGTTTTGTTTTTTTACAGTATTGCTTACGTAGAGTTCAAAACTGAGGCTGATGCAGAGAGGACGATGGAGGAGACCCAGGGGTCTGAAGTGCAGGGCAGATCCATCATCATTGACTATACTGGAGAGAAGAGCCACATGGGAGCCAGAGCATCAGGTAGGCTTGAGATATTTTGTAAAACTGTGAGATAAACTACTTGTAACAAGCAGTTCTAATAATTTCAATTATTATAATGCATAAGTATCTATACTCTTAATGAAAGTGTCTGTGTTTGTATGTATAGTTCTGCAAGTGTACTGATCTATGGTGAACATAACATAAGACAGCTGAAGAATGTTTCATCTTTTCTTTTTGTAGCATCTGAAGCAGCCAGCAAAACCCTGGTCGTGAACAATCTCTCCTTCAACGCGACAGAGGAAGTGCTGCAGTCCACATTTGAGAAAGCTGTTTCTATTAGGATTCCACAGAGAGATGGCAGACCCAAAGGGTGAGTGTCTGCGTGGCCACGGGTAACCCCAATGAGGGCTTTCAAGCTTTCAAATGTAGTCATGGTGTGTAAAACACCCGCGCCTTCTCTTGAGCTCCTGTAAATCTTCCTCATGATAGTACTTGGATTCGCACAAGAAGTAGAGCCAGTGCAGTTAGAACAGGCCTGCCCACCTACGTGGGTGTTGCCTATGTCTGCTGTGCAACAATTACAGTAAACTTTGTAAAATGACAAAATTAAAACATTTTAACCCTGATAGCCCTCAGCAAGACATTCAGATGAAGTATTTCAAAACAGATTTTGACTCTTTTTCTATCGTTGTTCTTCTCTCCTTAGTTTTGCTTTTCTGGAGTTTGAGAGCACAGATGATGCTAAAGATGCTCTAGAAAATTTCAACAACACAGAAATTGAAGGCCGATCAATCCGACTGGAGTACAGCCAGAGCAGAGATTGGAACAGGGGAAACTCAGGTAGGTCATGAAACCAATCAGTTGTCTTTTTAGTTAAGACTCTGCCAGCTGTGATGAAATCTTTATCTCCTGAAACTCTGTGAAGATTCAAAGATAGTCAAGTCCTGAGCTGATCTTTCCATGAATTTTAATTTGTTGAATTGTCTAGATTTGCCCAGATGGGTATTATTTTGCTTATTTACATGATGCCATCTTCTCTACCAGGTCCAACTAAAACCCTGTTTGTCAAGGGTCTCTCTGAGGACACAACAGAAGAGACCCTCAAGGATGCCTTTGAGGGTGCTGTAGCAGCCAGGATAGTGACAGACAGAGATACAGGGTCATCAAAGGGGTAAGTTTGAACAGGTGGAAACACTCCTCCTCCTTCTTCTTCTCCAGCACTTCTCTTGAGCACCGCTCTGTCTAACAATGACAGTGTACGGTTTCGTATGAGAAGGAGAGCAAAGTCGCAGTTAAACAGGCAGCTGCCTGAGTGGCAGTTGCCCATGTCTGATGTGAAACAGACTCGATGTGGTTTGAATTAGACCACTTTGCTCAGATGAGTTATTTAAAGACCAATACTTCACCCAACAAAGTAAAGTAGTTTAATTCATGGCACTGCATTAGAATTACATTTATTAATTAGAACCATTTTCCTTTATCTCGTCCCCTAACCTGTCTGGCTCTATAGTTTCGGCTTTGTGGACTTCAGCAATGAGGATGACTGCAAAGCAGCTAAGGAGGCAATGGAGGATGGCGAGATTGACGGCAGCAAGGTGACTCTGGACTACGCCAAGCCCAAGGGTGAAGGTGGCTTCCGTGGAGGCCGAGGTGGTGGCGGCTTCGGCGGTCGAGGTGGCGGCAGAGGAGGCCGTGGTGGCTTTGGCGGTTTTGGTGGTCGTGGTGGCGGTGGAAGAGGACGAGGAGGACCTCGTGGAGGTGGACGCGGAGGCGGACGCGGTGGTTTCGGAGGTAAGGGATTAAACTCCTAAACCTGTGGCTACTGTGATCATCTTTTAACTGACTTGCAGCTTTAAGCTGGTAGATTTTTACATTTGTTGTTCCAAGAGTTAACTGAAACCGAGCGATGTCTAAGTGTGCCTCTTTATCATTGTTTTGTAAAATAGCTAAACATGCTGCCTGGTAGATTAAGTTGCCCGTCTTTCTTGTTTCAGGTGGAAGAGGTGGCGGCGGTTTTGGAGGCAAACCCCAGGGGAAGAAAATAAAGTTTGATGACTAAAGTCTTAGTCTATTTTACTTTTTGAAAGGACTCTGGTTGCATCAGTTTTCAGAGCTTTTGGACATTCCACAAAGCGTCATTGGTATATATTTAACTGTTAACGGGCATTTTAGCCCTTTATTTAGACCCCTCAGACCTTCCATCCCCCTTCTGTGCCAGAATGGTACTTCTGACCTTTTCAGCTTAATCAAGACGTGAATACTGAATGTCCTAAATGCAAACCTGCACCTCACGCCCCTGAAGCACACTTGCTTTTCTGGAGGAATAAAATGGAATAGATCAGGTTCGCTGTGAAAAATGTTTGGTTTTGTCAGATACATTGTGTAAATTTAAACCGTTTGTATGATTTCGTTTTACCTTTTGTAAAAAGAAATACACTTGTATCCATATGTTTTGTTCTTATTTTGTCACTTAGTTTACTTTAGAAGCTAATTTTTACTGTAATGTGCAAAGCATATTTTGATAAGCATTGAGTCCTTCCTCATGAGTTGGATGTTGAGAATGACAAATGTTCACATTTTTGCTTGTTTTGTGGGATGCTGTCGATGTCTGAGTTGCAGATGAAAGACCTCTAATCTATGTAACATAAAATATTTGTAGTGCATTGACTAATTTTTTTTTTTTTTCTTCCCCATCTGACGATTTTCAGACGATTAAAACCTTGTATGTGGTGATTTTTAAATGACTCTTGCAATAATTTGTCTTCAAAGTCATGTCCTTTAGACCGGGTCCACTTTCACTAGTGCTGATCAGTTTCTCTGTCAGTGGGATATGTGCAGACTTTAAGTTGTCTCTAATTAAACCACTACTCAAAAAAACCATCAGTTCCAGCTAAAGTTATCAAACTATAGACCAATCTTCCTCTAATTTCAAAAGTTTGTGAAAAACTAACAAAGTATAGGAAGGAAATTATCTCTTTGATGTTTCAGTCAGGGTTTACTGACAGAAACAGACCATAGCACATAAACTGTACTGGTGAAGGTTATAAATATCCCTGGTCTCTGAAAGTGCACTGTGTACTTGTTGTGTTACACCTGAGTGCAGTGTTTGATAATATTAATCACAATATTCTACAGCGATCCTGTTAGTATTAAAAGATGCACTCCTGTGGTTGTGTCACATATCTGATA